TGAGGCTCTTCTTGACAGAACTAGACTATGGTTTGTGGCAAAAGCACTGATGTTTTCCATCCTGTAGCAATATGTGAAACATATGATGGAAATCTCTCCTGGAATATAGCCTCACTGGAAAGTCTGCTCTTACTCTCAGTAGATACTGTGGATGTTGATTTTGAGGAGCCAAGATTTTTCTGATTCCCCTCCCTTCCCTGAAAATTCACTTTACTGTGGCTAGCTGCAAAGCTTTTCCTATACATGCCTAGGTCTGAAAGGATGTGTAAAATACTACAGCCTGTCTTTCTTTTATAACCACCATTCTGTGTGCAAGCCCTCTGGAATCTTTCTCGCTTCTCAAATAGGAATGTTGAATGTCTCTGCCATTTGCTCATAACTGGACAAGTAATAATGTCAAGAGTTCCAGTATGACTGGACTGCCCACAATAGTGATAGATTTCCTCAAAATACCATGGCCTCATTCTTGTCTTACAGCAGTGGGCCACAAGAGATTTCAGTGAGCTACGTGATAGTAAAAGTGGTTCAATACGGTTGAGAAAGAGCTGTCAGTTTTGTTTTTCCCCTTTCCTAGGTATTTATTTCTGCTAGCATCTCTTTTTCCTTTGCCCTTCCCATTTCTGAGATCCTGCATATCTGAATAGCTGATACAAAGCAATCTCTTATTCTAAATAAGTACTGAGTCCACATGGTAGTGGTTACTGGTGCAGGGAGCCCCTATTATAGACACTATTGTATCTGATTTTATAAATGCTAGAACAGAAGGTTCTCATTTTATTCTCTCCCTAAGTAAGTGAATCCAGAATATTAGGTTCAGCATTAATGAAACAGTGGGCAGGAGGTGATTTCAAAGTCATTTCCCTTTCACTCTATCATTAATCTGCTTCCATGGTTGATGTACTGACCATGTTTTAAGAAGCAGTTCTCATGCATTCCCCTTAGCAAATACAAAACTCCCTGGAGTGAATGTACATGCATAGTAAGCACATGTTCCTCACAGACTGAGGAACCTGGCTGTTTATTTCTCCATTTAAAGAAAAAAGGCTTTCTCAGACTAGAAAAGAAAACTCTTGCACAAATAAGCTTCTAATGGGTATGCTATGGAAAACCTTTTTATTTTTAAACCTGCAGAAAGCACAACTTTCCATGCTTTGGATTCCATAACCTGAAGTTGTGTGTTTGTTTAAAGGCCTGAATACTCACACTGGAGCTGCTGGTTTAAATCTAAGTACCCTCGGAGAGGATCTAGTCCAGTCCAAAGTAAAAAAACCCCATGCTTCTCTGATGCATTTTTAAGAACTCTAGTGCTGGTAGGAATGATTGACCAGTTTTCAGACTGATGGGACAATTTTCTTGGTGCAATAGGAAACACTTCCCTTCCTTTTACTGTGGTGGTTATATTTTATCCTGGTTCTTCTGGGTGACTGTTCTATTATATTATTTGATAGCTGAGACTGAATTGCTGCTTTATTCCAGCTTTGCCAAATGAAGTTGCATGTGACAGCTTCTGTGGGAACCCCTGTATAGCTGTAGTCCACCAAAAATTCCGAGATCTCACAAAGCTGATGACAGACTTGCTGGTGAGTAGAAACACCTGAGTACCCAAGTCCTGCCTGTAGGTATTTACTGGGGAGTGAACTGCATTGCTTTTCAGAAGCACCTGAGATGGTTCTCATTTTCCAGTTTGATGCATGTTGATGTATGTTTGAAAGTAAAATTATTGTACAGATTTTTCAATGTGGTTCCAAAAGATATGTGTTCTTCATGGTATATGTGCTGCTTAACCACTAGTTGTCATATAGAAACTACTATTTCAGCTTTATGAAAAGGTACCTTGGGTTGCTAGAAAGCCAGAAGGAAAGGTGGGGGAAGGAAGTGGAACAAAATTGAAATAGAAAGAACAAAAGTAACACAGTAAAGCATATTATCAGCATTGAAAGTCTTTTTGGACTTTGATAAACATTCCATATAATGAATTTAAGAAACAGACCTCTGCACACTATGTAACAGTATCACCAGCTGCTTGGCAATGTAATTAATTGATCCTCTCAGAAAAGTGCTTTGCTAATTACATGGAAAACAGTCTTATGAGTAGTACTCAGAGGGTTCATTTGCTCCCCTGTTGAGTGCTGTGCAATGTGCTTGTATGTTCAATCCTTCCATTAGAAGCAGGGATTGTGATCTGAACAGCATTTATGGACACTTCCCTCTCTATATAGCACACTATGTGGACCCCTGTACTCGGGGATTTTTAGGCTGAGGAAGTAATCTCGAGCCTACTTTCTCAAGGCCAAGCTTCAGATGAGAAAGAATAATTGCAACTAATATGTAAAAGCCTGGTATTTTTATTCATGCTTTATGGCTCCAGGGTGTAGTACTTTAAATTACTTCAGTGTGCATCACAGGTTCTTGGATCCTGCCAGGAAATTCTACAATGTATTAGAAGAAAATAGACTGAATGAATGAAAGTATTTTTAACCTATGGGCTAAATGTTTAGATGTTAGTATTACAAAAGCAGAAAGTTAGAAATAAGAATAAAAAATTCAATTGGACTGCCTCTATCTTGCACACACATAGAAAGGAAAAGAAAAAAGATGATACATATATATTTATATATATATATACACACAGTCTGTTATACGTATTATATATTACCTATAGATTAGTCACACAGGGATTTTTTTTATGCACAAGTAATTTTTTTCATGTGCTCATTTACCCACATGTTCAGACATGACTTCCTGATGTGATGCTAACTGCATATGGAAATCTGTCAGGTTTTGAACTCCATCTAGCTCTGTCACTGCCTTCTCCTTTTTTACTAGGTAGCAGTGCTATTCTTGACAGCATGAGACTGAAGGAAGTGGTACACCAGCTCTAACTGCATAGTCGTTCTGTGTAGGTTTTCTGTTGGTGCTGATCTCCTAACGGGTCTTGCTGTTATTCAGCAAAACCAACACACGATAGAGGTGCTTTGGCACTCGTCTCATCTGAAACATTTCCGTGTCTGTGAAGTATATATGAAGTGACAGATGCTAGTGCCTTGCTGGATGACACTCTGCTCTCAGGTTCATCTGTGAACAGCAAATCAGTCTTTCCATTGAAAAATAATGAATTTTTCCTCTAGGCAGTTTCTGATTTGTGTGCGCTTCTGTAACCGTTGCAAATGATCTGTTGGTTTTGTGCTTTTGAGCTCTTAACTACTGCAATGTGTTCTGAGCAAACCTGTGACTATTTGACTCTATTTTATCAGCTGTCATCACTGTAGTTTTTTATTAGCAACGAACTGACAGCTTTGCATTTAGAAAAAAAATAATATATATTTACATATATTAAAAAGAGTTGGTTGCCACTCACTACTTACTTTCTGCACACCTCTGTAGAAGGGCAGAAAATACTGCATACTGATGTGTGACTGAAGTTGCTGAAAGGTTTTCATGTGATCCAGGCAAGATGCAAGATCATCAAAACTGATGTGTTCCCATTAAATCTTCCACAACCACATCCAATATGTTTTCTCAGAACAAAAAAACAACCACATGTCTAGCTCTAATCTCTGCTGATTAGATCAGGAATTAAGAGCATAAGAACCTGAGGTCTTGTCTAAATGCAGGTCTTCTGTGTCCTCCCGTGCATGTTAACTGTAGCCCTTGTGAATTCTCAATTATAAACTCATCATCTTTTGTGCTCTGTGGATCTGACCTGCTCTACTTAATGGACTATGATCAATTCTACAGAGCACTTGTGTTGCATGAGTGCTCCAACTCTACTGTAAAGCCAGGTAGTAGGTTGTGACGAGCATGGATTTGTAGATGAAACAGTTGGTGTTGAGGGCCTGCTGTCTACACTGGACATGCTTCAGAGGGTACATTGCATTAGCTCTATCATGCCTCCATGCGTCTGAATGCTCATTAGAGGATGGAGTGTACTAGGCTCACTCCTGAAACTAATTTATTTGTTTACTTTCACCTGAAGTGTGTTGCCAGGAGCTGTCAATGTGCTCTCCCTGTTGTAACTTCTGGTCTTTCTGCAAAATTGCGGCTACGTTCTTCTGTGTACGCTGCCATGTTAACTAAAAACCCCAAGTCTGCAAATACTTCTGGCAAGTAGTTAGTGACAGCAGTATGTGATCCGTCCTACTGGTACTGTGTAGAATAGAGGTCTAAAAGTAATTTCCCCTCTTAGATGTCGCTAGTTACAAAAGTGGTATGTTAAAGGAAGGTTTCAGAGTTAAAACTGTAGCTTGAAATTAACAAGTAAGAATAAGGAGCAAAAAGTAGGAAGAGAAAAAGCTGAGATGGTTAAATCACCAAGTTTGCTAGTAAACAACAATTGCTGAGATTACAACACACGTTTTTTAATCAGAAATCCTCCAGCTAATCTTTCTACTTACTTGCAACAAATCTGGTTCTAAAACAAATGGCTAAAACTATCTGCACTGTTTACAAATGTTACCCTATGACTCCATTTAATACACTGGATAACTGACTTGACGGTAATTTTTACCTCTCCCCTACCCAAGTATTACTTTAATCATCTGGCACTTTGTTTATTTATTCACATTAACATTTCCAAATGCAGAGTGCCTGGCCAGCAGTTGCTGCTCTGTAGAGTTGCCAGTGTCTGTCTGTTTGGGGCAATGACAACTGCCTTTTTAAGGCTTTATAAAAAAAAAAAAAAAAAATTCCCCCCTCAACTGGCATTTCAGAGCAGCAGCCTTCACAATACATTAGCTTAATGCATTTTGAGCTCAACTAAGTCTTCCGTGCCCACTGCTGCTGATATTTGTCTACTATTCTACTTGAAATAAGCATGCAGTATAAATGATTTAGACATATAAATAAATAAACCTCTAAATATCCATACCCTTGCAACAGCAAAACCAGATCAAATCTAATATTTAGAACAGTATATTGCTACAAACACCAATTCAGTGAGAAAATGTATTCACATTTGTAGGACATTGTGTCAGGATTTAGGAAAGTGAAGGGTAACTCACTTGAGCATGTTAGTTTGATGGACATGTAGTCTCTGCCACAGTCCTTCTTATAGTGACAGCGCAGCCAGTTTAAGAGGCAGAGACCGTCACCACACTGTAGTTCTTCCTTTTTACACGGCAGAATGCTCTGTTCATCTGAAAGGAGGAGAAACAATAGCTGACTTTGTGTAACAAGCAACTTCTTCTTGAGTAACAAAGCCACATGTCTACTGAAAGTCGGTCTGCCTGCTTTTGAAAGCCCTGGGCAGATAGAAATGGGATGGCAGATGTGAAAAGGGTCTCAGACTCAAACCAAATATTTCCTATACTGTTGTTGCTGATCATTTAAATAGTGTTGGAGACAGATGAGGTCTAGGTGAAGCATACCAAAGAAGTCACAAGGAGACCACGTCTCTGATGCACTAGCCTTCTGACTGACTTACATGCTTTAACATCCAAACCAAAACAATCTACCTTTGCCCCAGTTTAACATACGAAATGGATGAATGAGGGGGAAAGAAGAGATCTGCTATGTTGCATAAACCTGAAGCGCTGGATTAAGGGCTTCTTAGCTGTAAGTAAAACTCTCTTGCAATCCCTTTCCAGTTTGACAATTAAGGGTAGGAACTCAGTCTGATAAGAGTGGGGAAGGATTGTAAGAATAATCTTAAACCCTTGGGGAAATTCATGGAGACATAAACTCAGGTTTGGTTTGCAGAGACATTAAATCCTATATAGTAGGGTTTGCAGCTCTGCATGAAGCCAAATATTTGACTAGCTCCTCAGTCGAAAGATTGAAGGCACTTCCCAGGATTACTGTTGATTCTTCGGGGCTGAGGAGAAAACTGAGATCACTCATCCCAACCTAGAGAGGGGGAAAACGGAGTAATTTTATCTTGTCCTTTGATAGCGAACTATGGTTCCTTTTATCTTTATGCATATACGCATGAACACAAATTTCCCACTCTCAAAGGAGAGATAATACCAGCCTAAGCCCAGTAACTTAAGAAAAGCAGAGCTTCAGGCCATTCTAATATTCACCTGTGCAAAACATATTTGCACAAGAAATGGGAGTGTCATCACTTGTCATATCTGAACAGGATCACCCTGTCCTAGTCCAGAAGTTTGGAGGGTATGCCTGAGGAGAGAGCGGACGCTGCAAATGCAATGCCAGCAAGCTACAGGCGTTTAGCTTTCAGTGGCTATTCAGAAGAGCTGTTTTGTCTCATGTCTGTAAACATTCAAACAGCAGCTGCCTGACACAAAATTTACAAAGGATTTGGGGAATCTCTATGCAAGGAAAAGTATGGGGGTTTTTTTTGTTGTTTTTTTTTGTTGTTTTTTTTTGACACATTAACTGTACAACACAAAATATCCCATGGAATGCTAGTGACCAGCCACACCATCTAAAACACACTGAAAAAATAACTGAAAAAAAAAAAAAAAAAAAAGAACTTGTTATGTAAATGTATTCCAGTTTGTTAGGTTAAAAATCTGTTAACATGCTATAAGGAACAAACAAATTCATGGATATCGGCAAGTCTGAAAATTATCCAGGAAAAGGGGGGGGGGAAAACCTCCTATATTATTCAAAGAAGGTATAATAATATTTTTTTCCCGCATTTCACCAGTAGTGCTATAAAGTAGTCTTATTTTGATGGTACATAGAAGGAAACTATTTTCTGACAAGTGCATCTGAGTGTGCAAACAGATACACTGACATTGTTTAGTTGCATGGTTTTGTAAGGCCTTCGAATAGTGACAAATAGAAGTAAAATACACAAAAAATAGTTCATTAATGACAGAATAAAAAGTTTTTAAGCTTGGCAAGGAAGATCTTTGTGTAGAAAGACTCCTTGGAAATTATCTTTACATTTCATTGGAGTAGTAGAGCTGTATTCCATTTACTTTATGCGAGCAATTTAAAAATATAGGCAAATAAAGTCCAAGCCCAACTTGAAAAACACTAGCTCTTGAAAGTAAAGGCACAGAGGGCTGCTGTGCAAATTGGTACCCAACAGAACGCAGGCAATTCTGCTACATCATGTAGTATGTTTCCCAAATGGCTACTGTATTTCTGGCAGGCAGCTCAGACAGTTTTGGGGTAAAATGGCCTAGAATTCCCAGCAATTAAAGTTGTGGGGATTCCTGTCTGGGTGGTGTTTTGTTTTGTGGTTCTTTTGTTTGTTTGGTTTGGTTTTTTGGTTGTTTTTTTTTTTTTTAAAGAGTTACAATGTTATACAAGAAGCAGCTAAGCAATAATTACTTTTACACAATGACTGTGTTTGGTACCACAATGTTTCCATTTAGGATTGTGCTGTTCTAAAAGCAAAGTATTTTCTAAAGGTGTCTGTCTACATGTATACAAAATCCTTGTTGGCAGCATTCTGATTTTGTGCTCTCCCTATACGTTGGGACAATTTCTGATTGCGACTGGTGCTAAGAAATGTACTATACAGCATGTACCCCCAAACACAATAGCATGAATACGTTGTAACTGCTTTTTCAATCTATTATTGAATGTCCTATATTCTTTCTAAAGGAACATCTGTTTCCACAAACGTGTTTAGTGTGAGGAGCATGGCTGTTAGCGTAGTTTAACATAAGGTTCAAATGGTGCATAAAAGTAATCCCAAACAGCTACTCTTTGTTGCTCCTCTTTGCAACGCGTGTGCTCTTTCCCCAGCACCAAGTTCTGGGCCAAAACAGAAATCACTTTGGATTCATGTTCCTCTCCCGATATATTTCTGAGGCAGAGTTATAATTACAATACCAAATGACTACATATTGTTGGACTACTTGTCAACGTGGCACCTGCAATAAACCCAGAGTGTTAATTTGTCATTCAGAGCTTTTATTATCTGTTCAGGTCTGCAGGGTTTTCACATTTGTTTGCTGAACAGGATCACACAGTAGGCTGCCTAATCATTGCGCCTTTAGAGGCAGGTTTCAGACCTGTATGTTAAGATGACCACAAGGAAACATAGTTTATGAATTTCTAAAAACTCTAGTCTCTTCTGTTCTGTGTTGGGCCTATTTTATTATGGCCTATTTTATTTAAAAAGTCTTATACTTCTTGCCAGTTGTTTGAGCCAACGACTTGCATACTGTGTGCATTTGCAGAATGAAAATGGCCACTGTGTACCTCAGTAGTCTTAACTTGGAAATAACAATAAGTGGGGAGCATTTAGCCCAAAATATTGAACTCTGCTAATAGGAGGAGATGGTTAAGTGTGGATTAGAAGGAAAGTTGAGGTTGAGGTTGTCCTAGTAAGAACTAGTCTTCCAACTAGGACTAAATAGCTTGCAATCTGCTGGGTGCTCTGCCATGTACTCTATTACCCTCTCTCCCAGAGGATCTCGGATCTCTTTATAAAGCTCATCTCTTTAAGATCCTGAGTCCTTGCTATAGAAATCCCTGACTGAACCCATTCTGCAAGTTGAGGCCTGTTTTCAATGTTTAAAAATTGGAAGCAGACTAGTCAATGATTTAGAGTGACTCAGAAAGCTGTTCGTACTACTGACTGAAGTGTTCAACTTTCTGAGGCAAAAGATGTAATTTCTATGTATCTCTTGGGTTCCCCAGTGAAAGGCAGACTGACCTGTATTTGTGATCTGACTAGGAAAACATTACAGGCCAGCTGTAGTTACTTTTCTGTCCTAAGTAAATGGGAACTGAAAGTTGAGGTTAAATGTAACTTCAGAGTATTTCTCTCTACCAGGTCGGAGCCTGATGGACAACAGGTTTGTCTGTGGATGATTAATTCAGCTACATAAAATAATCACATGAAAAAGTAAAAGTAGAATAAATGTTCTGGAAATTGTTTTGCAGCAAGTCTGCTCCTTCAACCCCAAGAACAAAGACAGATACAGGATTGGACAAAGATGGAAAAAAAAGATGCTACAAGAGAAAATAACTAGTGCAGTATCTTATTAGCAAGAGTCACTGCCAAATAATGGACAGATACCAATCCATAAGCCAGGAGAGCCTTGCTTTCTCCTTAAATTGCTATGTAATCTAAAGCAATTAATTTTTCTGCCAAACTTTTTTTCTCTTCCAACCTTTTGTGTTATCTAGACACCTGCAATCTGGAAGGACAAGGCCAGTTATATTGTGCAGGACCTAGTGGAATAAAGCTTCGGTCTCAGTTGGGTCTTTTAAGTGACCACGGTACTGTTAGAAGTAATACTGTAGCAATTTTGCAGCTTATTGAAAATAAAGCTAGGATGCTGAAAACCTGTAAAGATCAGAAGCTTACAGAGCTGCTTCTCTTAAACCATGAAACTAAAAAAGATTAATTGCCAATAGGAGAGATTTAAAAGTTAAAAAATTAAAAAAACCCACGTATTTCACTATTTCTTTTTATGTTTCCAATGAAGAAAGAAAACAATTGCTGAAAGGAAAATCCTCATTTTAATGACTGAAGTAAAGGGATTAACAGGCTTGAAACTAAAAACAGCAATTAAAAGATAAGAAACTTAGAATTAAAGAAGCCATAGAAACAAAGTGTCATAGAAGCAGTATTTGCATTAAGAATAGACAGTGATCAAGTGGCTTTGGCTGGAATGTCCTCCAGTGAATTATCTTCACACAGGTCCTTGAAGACCGTAGGTGTCTCAATGTCATCTAATGTCATTATTTTTAAAAAACAGTCTGAGGGATTTCAGGAAGTTCTAGCAAGATACGTATTAAGTCTTGGAGCTAAAATCACTGTTTGCATAAATGCTGTCAAAGCCAACTGAACTGCTTGCTTCTGCCAGCTCTGAATTTCAGGACAAATTGTCAAAGCATCTGAAGACAGACCCTAAGTAGACATTACAAAAGCTCATAATCAGTTAGGTGTCCACCTCTCCGTGAAAGATGCTGTGCATAAGGCATGTGGGCATCTACTGCATTTTAGGTGCTTGAACACATATGTCAAATACAATCATTATATAATAATGAAATACCAGACTGCAAGAGTTAATAGCGCTCAGCACCTCTAAAGCATGTCTCCCCTCTACTCTTCTCTCAGAAGTTTCTCAGTATGGCTGCTTGTACCAGTCTGATGAGATCCCCTTCAAAAACTAAAGCATCGTTTCTATTTATTTGATAGGGAGCAGGGTTGGACTCTAATCTGTATTTTTGCATAGCAGGTGCATAGGAATGAATTCTAATCTATTATTCTCTCCAGTAAAGAAAAAAAAAAAACAGTAATGGGAGGTAGGAGTTGGGAGAAGCTGCTAAAACTAAAGCATTAAATCAGTAGTTACAGTGGAAATAAATGATTTGGAGTTGTCAGCCTACATCCTCATAAATGAGGATAAGAAACTGTCAGGCTTGGAGAGAAATTGATACCTTCATAGTGCAGATTCCAGCCTAATAAATGAAAAGGTGAAAAAATAATTCTTGATCTAACTGAGATGATTTCAAGGCATCATAAAATAAATTGATTGCAGAAAGACACTGAGCAGGATATGACTTAGAGGAGGAGAACAAAGAATTCTGAGGTGTGGTTCTGGAGGTATTTGAATATCCATCCGTTCTGCACAGTTGGAATCATTAAAGCCTGAAGTGCAATGTGGAAAACTGTAGGGAGAGATGGGAGAAAACATCCACACTTTGAGGAAGAAAAATCAGCAAAGGAGAATAAAGAGGAGATTATTCTGAGGATTAAAACTTTGCTGTGGACTTAGAGAAGAGGAGGCAACTAGAGCATGTGTTTCCCTCACTGCCTGGCATCACAGACATACATGGTTTCTAGCATTCTGTTAGAGAAGAGAGAGGCTGGTGATAGGTGGTAGACGTTGGTGCTTTGATCACTGACGCTTCTCAAGGCATCCCACAAGTGCAAGGGAATAAACTGCTGCGGGGTGCAGATCTATCAATCTGGCTCTTAAACTTCCTGGCATCATGTAGTCTCTCCAGGACACCAGCAAAGCTGTCACACACAGGCTTGAAGCAATCTCTTGTCTTTCTGTACGTCTCAAATCTGGTGCAGCCAACAGAACCACTGTACAATACTTGCACAGACTCAAAATCACCCAGTTTCTCCACCTGTTTGAACTGAGGCACTGGGCTCCACCTGTGCACATGAATGTGTGTAGTGTGCTCATTGACTACTGGCCTCCAGACAACTGTGTTAAACTGGCTGAGTTTGGAGACCATTCTGGGAAAAACACAGGGTTTGCCATCAAGAGCAAGAGCTACAGACTCTCTAGTCTGCAGCAGTGGACAGAGCATTTTATTCTTGCTGCGTACAGAAAGATTTTCTTGTTTATGAGCAGAAGTTTGTTCAACCTTCTGCTGTCATCCTGGGGTCTCAGAGCAGAGCTAGCAGTGCAGTAATCAGTGACAACACAGCTGGCAGCCAGCTGTGCTGTTACTGTGTGTGAGCTGAATGCTGAGGGACAGCATCCACAGTGTCTACTCAAGCACCTACCGGTTTTAGGATCGGGATTTTCTGAACTTTTTCTTTGTGGCAAGTATGTCTCTCTGCCTGGCTTAGCTGGGTTTTTGTGCAGAAAGAGGAGAGCGCCACAGTATGAATGAATGCCACTGTGACTGTCAGTAGAACATTTTGCAGTCCAAGCATTACAATAATTAAGCACAGTAGCCCTTGTGTAGAAAGCCAGAACATTGTACCTGGCTGAACGGTGCTCAGTTAAGGCCAAAGAAAGACAAAAATATTGTCTTAAGAACACTTAGTTTTTAAGAGACGTAGGCACCCATTTGGAAATTAGGGCTATGCTCAGACTATGAACTGTTTGCTGCAACAGATTTATTACAAAACTCCACTTATTTAAAGTTAATGCAATACAACGTTGTCTTGCCATGAAGTGGTCTCTCTGGGAGGGACAATGGCAGGGAAAAATATGAGCTTAAGGGTCAAGGAACATGAAAGCAAAGAATGGTTAGGAAATTATCTTCTTCTGATATGAATCCCTAAACTAAACGTATAGTGGCAACATATGTAATGAAGTGCTATGAAATGTCATTTCATGCATAATGTAAAACCAACAGTTCTGTGGAAAAATAATCTAAACAGTATTTTGCAATATTAACCTGTAACAACATAAGCACAAGTATTTTTTTGCCAAGTCTTTGGGCAATTCACTAATAAATGAGTAGATGGCCACACGTAGCTGTACTAATGTAGGTGTTTACAATTCCCTGCCATTTGGGTATTGTTATTATGTATTTTCTCTGACTTAGGTGATGCCAGTTGGCCATCTATTAGGTAGCCAGAAGGTTGACAATTTTAATCAGCAGCTATTAATTTTGCAGTTGCTCTTGAGCCCAACCTTAACATGTTTTTTATAGGAGTTTAAGGGATTACCAGGCAATCTGAAAGATGACACTTTGCGTTTACTTGGTTTTGCACTGTCTTCAGCTTTGCCAGCCAAACTCTGCTCCTAGTTACCAAAGTTATCTTAGAGTTAGATCCTACAAATACCTAGTGTTGACACTATGAGTAACTTCTCCAAGTTGGTAGGTTGTGGCAGCAAACATTAAGCTTGACAATATTTCTGATCTGTGAATGATAGCAGCTGCCTGACTTTGTTGTTCCTTTATGTATGTTCCAAAGTAAATAAGATAACTTTTTGCCTCTTCTTTCTTTAAACTTCAGGTTAATCATATGATTTCTCACCCATGATGAGCATCTTAGCCTGAAAGTTGTTACCAAAGTCATAATCTGGTTACGGCATTTTAGCATGGCTTTTCTTGAGCTGCAGCACTTGCTCCAAGAGATACCTTGGTTGTTTTAATTGTTGTGCATATATTTTTAGCATTATGCATTCTTTCACCTAAGAGACTGGACATGCTGCTCTGCTTCCCTGCATACAGGCGGGGTTTGCCAAAACAGGACCAGTGACACAGGCAGAATTGACTCCTATAATGTTATATTTCCTTATCAAAAATCATTAATGTAATAACTATAGAAGTAAGTCATAAAAAGGAGAGTAGAAGGAAGTAAAATGTCAGGAATTGTTTTATTTCAATGACTGGAAGTCACTTTTAGCTATAGTTGTTTTAGTAGTGAGTGCCAAAATGATATAAATTTTGACTGATGTCAGTGTGCTCAATTTGTAAATCAGTTTTTGCAGCTAAGTGCTAATTTGTTGTTGTGGGAAAAAATGCTGAAAAGGAGAAAATGAGAACTTTTTTTTTTTTAAAAGACATATGGAAGTACTTGTACCTGACACTAAATTTTATAGTCTTCTATTTCAGACAATTCTCTTGATCATTTCTGGGAGTTTTGTCTGTATAAACACCACAAGGTTAAGTCCATTTCTGTTAACTCGGTTGTTTTCTTAGTCAGGAAGCTATCTGCTTTTTAATGGATTGATGTTTATCTGCTAGAGGACTTTAAATATAATATTCCTACAGCTGTACATGACTGCAAGGCATGCCATTAATGCAGTTAAAAAAAAAAGAGACTACTTACAGAGATGGGAATAATTGCTGCCTATTCCAATACGGATGGAGCTTCCAGAGATGAGAGGAAGATGGAAGAAAAGAACTAAGGAGGGAAAAAGGCAAAAAAAGTCCTCAATAGCAGTTTGTTTTTGTTTTGCGAGCAGATGCCAGTTGACACGCTGTTGTTGGTAAAGTGCACCCACTCTCTCTAGGGCAGAATTACATGTTTCAGGCTCTGAATATATGCACAGATGTAGCTTGAATGGGAGTGAAAAAAACCAAACAAATCATTGCTTCATACTTTCAGGAATCACTCCAGTTCAGGAAATATTATATATTATTTTAATGCCTCTTAGATTCAAAACCCCCATGTTTAACCAGCGATGTGTTATATAAATATGTTAATTATTGTTGTTAAATCATGCGCCAGTCTCTGAAACAGGCACCTACCCTTGTAAAACAAAGTAACTGTTTCTTAATTTAAGTGCATCTTGACTACGTGTGGCAAACCGGGTTGGAAAGAATTTATTCTAAAATTTGATACACACACTCCCCCTATGCATTTCAGCTTTAATATTTATAACTTGCACTTCAAAGATTTATACTCGCAGGCAACGAAAACGCACACGAGTAAAACGTGCCCTAAATAACGAAATGCTTAGATTTCTGAAACGATGGGCTTGTTGGCTCCTGCGGCTGCATCTAACGGCTGCTCGTCGCTCGGACAGTGCGCGGTCCCCGGGCCGCGGGGTCGGGGCTGGC